CCCAGCCTCCCCTACCTCCTGTGCCCCAGCCTCCCCGCGCTCCCCGCCTCCTGTGCCCCAGCCTCCCCAGCCTCCCCACGCTCCCTGCCTCCTGTGCCCCAGCCTCCCCAGCCTCCCCACGCTCCCTGCCTCCTGTGCCCCAGCCTCCCCACGCTCCCCGCCTCCTGTGCCCCAGACTCCCCAGCCTCCCCACGCTCCCAGCCTCCTGTGCCCCAGCCTCCCCGCGCTCCCGGCCTCCTGTGCCCCAGCCTCCCCGCGCTCCCCGCCTCCTGTGCCCCAGCCTCCCCGCGCTCCCCGCCTCCTGTGCCCCAGCCTCCCCACGCTCCCCGCCTCCGGTGCCCCAGCCTCCCACCTCCTACAGGGATGCCAGGGCTTCCTGAGGCTCTGTACCTAAGTCCTGGTCTTACATTTGGGCTCTAGAGGTGGTCGCTCCTCTGGTCCTCTTTCAAGAGAGGAGTTAGAGCTGCTGTTCTTCAGGAGGCCAGTGCTCCCCAGGACTGTGGCTGTGAGAGTAGAGCCGGCCACACCCCAGAGGAGGCGACCAGCAGGGCTGGCAGCCGTGTGCTGTGCTGCGAGTGAGGCCCCAGCCGCCTCATGGCAGCTGAGAAGAGCGGTGTGGTCAGGACTTGCGAGGTCAGGCGGGGTCAAGGCTCACCCCAGGGCCTTTGCAGCCGGTCCGGGGGCAGCCAGCCGCGGCTTCCGCCCGCCTGGGTCACCTTCACCCCCTGGCATCTGTGGTCTGCAGGGCCTTTCGGGGTCCCTTGAGCCCGAGGGCAGGCACAGGCACTGGCCGGAGCCTGGAGCACTGTGCTTCCTGTCAGCCTGGCTCTCCTGCGCACACTCTCCTGTCTGTCTATTTGGCCTCACTGCGGGGAAAGTGCCCATTATGTAAGGCCACTTGGCACGCGTGGCCGCCGGTCCCCGTCCTCAGCTAGGCAGCGGCCCTTGGCAGCCTCCTCTGCGGCCCGAGTCCCGTGGTGGCACCAGACCATGTTGTCACCTCCGGTGTAAGGTGCCTGGGCATGGGGTCGCTGACCGCCGGCCTCAGTGCCGGGTCCTCCCCATTTGCTGACCTCTGGCCTCCCTCTTTCAGCGAAGAAGAAAGGATCCGGTTTCAGGAGCTCCTGGCCAGCCCGGCCTATAGAGCCAGCCCCCTGCTGGCCATCGGGCAGCAGCTAGCTCAGCAGATGCATCTGGAGGGTGGTAGCCGGTTCTGACCAGGCGATGTGTACGCCATGAGCCCCAAGGGACCCTGAGAGGGGCCATATCCTCCGGATTGTTCTCCGAGCCTGGTGGACACCCCCTATCCAGCACAGGGCCTCTTGGTAATAAAGTGCCTTATGGACCCCAGGACCTTCCCACGGTTTGCTTCTGCTTCAGAGCCACCCTTGCCTTCTCCTCCTGAGCTCACCCTGGGCTGGGGCTCATCCCCTAGGCTAGACACCCAAGGTGGAGAGAGCAGGTGGGGGTTGACCTGGTAGATTGGGGAGGGCACCCGCAAAACTGGTGCCCGTCAAGCCCCGCCGGCCTGCGCAGCGGCAGCACCCTCCCGGACCTCTGTGAGGCCCCCAGCCGTGTTGGGAAGGGAGTCCTCACGCCGCCCTGCCTGCAGGAAGTGCTCCCGGGCTGGGCCGCTGTGTGACTGCTCCGCGTGGCCCCTGCTCCTTCCCCTCCTTGTCCCCTCTCCACCCAGCCCCCTCGAGCCTCGGTCCTGGCTGCCCTCGGCCAGCCACCACCCCTTGAGGGCTTCCAGCCCCGCACTGAGACACAGAGCAGGCCTGGCCTGGAGCCCCTTGGCTCATCTAGGTATTAGCAGACACGGGTTTGGAGATGGAGATTGGCCATTAGGCTCCATAATCAGGGTGTGGGGGTGAGGGGCAGCGCCCCAGCCCCCGGGCTCACTCGGGTCCTGTCCTCACAGCCACCCATCCCTGTGCTGCGCAGGGGCCAGGGAAGGGGGCAGCTGTGGGTGGGCAGTGTGGCCCCCTTCCTGGGCACTGGGTCAGCCGCCCAACTCTATGTCCAGCGTGTGTGGATTCACCCTCACAGAGGAGACATGAGCAGACCCAGTCTCTACACACTTGGCCCCTTGTGGATAGAGCAGCCGTCCTCTGGAGTTCCTGACAAACCCACGTGTAAGTGGGACACAGCCTGTCCGGAAGCCGGAGGCAGATGGCGGTGACCACTGCGTGCTCATCTGCAGAACCCAGGGCCGCTTGGGATGTGCTGGTTGTGTGCAGGCCAGTGGGGGAGGAGAGTGAACTGTGGCAGCAGATCTGAGTGGACCACTGTGTGGATTTTGTGTATTTTCTGGTCTTTGTAGGATGACATGAATGACTTGGCAATAAACAAGTGGGAAAGTGCTGCAGTGTGCCGGTTTTCATGCTGCTTAGGCTCTGGAGCCGAGTGGGTGTTCTGGTCGAAAGGGTACACAGCAGACAAAAGCCCCCTGGAGCGCAGCAGGGCCGCCTGCCTGTGGAGGGGGAGGCAGTGTCCTGCGCTGGGCGGTGGCACGCAGCATTAAGCACAGGTGTCCCCTGCATGTGGGGCTCGGGAGAACGCAGGAGCACGTGCCTGGGGACGGGAGGGGGCGTGGGGACGGCTGCCCCACAGCCAGGCCTGCAGCACCGCCCAGGGCCAGGCGCCCAGCCCGCAGTCCAGTGTAGAGGGACGGTGAACCTTGTTTTTGGTCAGTTGTGGGGCTTGAACTCTGGCCTGGGCTCAGGCCCTGAGGGGCGTTTTTAGCCACTTTGAGCCACAGCACCACTTCCACTTTTCCAGTGGTTAATTGGAGATAAGTCTCGTGGACTTTCCGGCCCAGGCTGGCTTTGAACCATGATCCTCTGCGTGGTTGGGATTGCAGGTGTGAGCCGCTGGTGCACCTTCGGGGGTGTAGTGGAGGGCGGTTAGGTCTGGCCGTCCCCTCCCCGCGGGCTCCTGACTGGACGCCCCTGCTGCCCCACAGCAGCCGCGGACTGAAACCTCGCTTCCTTTTCTCCTTCGTTCGTACTCACGGTCGTTTTATCGCAGAGAGGCGGGAGCCCCATTGGCAGCCCCGAGAGGCCTTTGGCCCGCTGGGGCTGTTCCCCAGGCCTCAGGTGGGCTCTGCTGGCGTGGCAGTTCTGTGGAGCTGTGGCTGGCCCCAGGACTGCATTGGCCCTGCCTGTGTGTGTGTGTGTGTGTGTGTGTGCGCGTGCACACGCAAGCGAGGAATGCAGCCAAGCACCTGCTTTGCCCACCTGTGTGCAGGGGACGGGCCATGGGGTGCCGTCAGAGCCCGGGGTTTCCTCCTGTCACCGCCCAGAGGCAAGGGCTGAACATGTAGGCACAATGGGGGGCAGCCCTCCTCTGCGTCCCACGCCGTGGGTGTGGCCACGTGGCTTCTCTCCCTGGCTCTGCGGCCACCAGGGTGCCCTGTCTCCTACAGGGCAACCGGCGGTGAGTGTGGGTGCCCTGCTCCAGGGGACCCCATTTTCTAATGTTTGTGTTGTGAGCCGAGCGCTGGGTCTACAGGCATAGGCTACCCCGCCTGCACGGCCTGACCCCTAAACGCATCCTGAGTCTCCATCCTCAGCCCTTAGTAGACACCTGGTCTGGGGCATTTGGGACAGTTTCAGAAGCTCCTTTCCTCCTGGTGATTAGAGGGTGCATGTGTGGTCAATTGAGCTCTGTTGGGGGGGAGGGGAGCTGGCGAGAGATGACGGGGACACAGGACACGTCCACAGGGGAGGTGGAGGCCCAGGGAGGGAGGCTGAGGACGTGTGCACAGCAGAGGCAGAGGTGGAGGCCCTGGGAGGGAGGCTGAGGACGTGTGCACGGCAGAGGTGGAGGCCCTGGGAGGGAGGCTGAGGACGTGTGCACGGCAGAG